GGTGCAGCGCAGTGCTGTGCTCCAGTGCTCCTTGATCAGCGAGCACTGGCAGTTGGCTAGATTTTTTTTTTCATTGTAATGCATATACACCGTTATACACACGCATAGAATTGAATCTAAAAATATATTATTTATTTTTTAATTTCTCAGAAATATGCGAGATGCAATTTTATTGATACAAATATACCGTCGATATTGCGGTGTCCGACGGTGAATGCGAGAGACCGCTCGGTGGCGGCTAAGTCTCGCATGCCCAACGAGCGAGACCGAAGAGCATGTCACTCTTTGCCGCTAATAAGTGACTAATTATGCCGATTAGTGAATTAATAAATTATTAATTAATCTCTAATCATTCAGTTTAGAAACAGTCTCGCCGCTCGCTACGCCGCGCGACCCGCTCGCGTCGTCACGTCCATGTCTCGGTGTCTCGCAACGGTCCAGTAATATCGACGGTATATTTGTATTTGTGTCAAAAAAAATACATCTAGGATATTTCTAAGGAAAAAATAAAATAATATATTTTTAAATTTAATTCCTCATGCATATCACACTCTGAATTAATCGTCTAATACATCTTCAAAGAAACGGGGACTAATAGTAAATCCCTAACTTCACTAAAATCTTATTAAAATGCACTTGTACGTGGGAAATATTTATGACGCTAAGATTTAAACCTAATATCGGGCCATCCGTATCTCTGAAGTTTGGATTTTTAGCTGGCCAAATTATTCTCTACGCTAGTCACCAACTTCGACGGCTACAAATTATATAGTCGGCTACAAACTACTCCTATAGCAATTCTATGATTTTGCTATATATTTGTCGACAAATTTTCTCCTAAAAATTTGACAGATGTAATTATAGTACAATCGTAGTATAATTACACTGTAACTTGCATGTAATTACACTGTAACTATAGTGTAACTTGTAAGTAACTTTCAAAAATCTCTTTGTAATATGTTATTTCGGTAAAATGGAGGTCGTGGGAACAAATCCTTACACATATGTGTGTGCTGTGATTTTTTTTTCTTCCTCACCAAAACAAATCTTGTAATAGATTTAACGATTCAAAATTACGTGAAACTTATATACAAGTTACACTATAGTACATGCAAGTTACAGTGTAATTACATATAAGTTACAGTGTAATTACACTACGATTGTACTATAATTACATCTGTCAAATTTTTAGGAGAAAATTTGTCTACAAATGTATAGGTGGTCCCGCAATTCTATAGCAATCTCTTGTGATGGCTGTCAGACAAATTTATCTGTTGTCATGATCCCTTCTAGCGAAAAGGCCCCTGTCCCATTGGCTCCACGCAATATGGTATTGGTAGAGCGTGACATCCAATACCGGACAAAAGCGTTTGCTGTCCACGCAGTGCAGAGGCATCTCAATCTCCCCCTCTGCATCTACCTCTCTCGTCCTTGGAAATGATCTTGTTTACGACCGCGCGATTCACTTTCACCACGAACAGATAAGACGAAGATAGCTGCCAGTTGATTTCCTCGTCGCGAAGCCGACCTAATTAATTGTCCGGAGAAATATTGGCAGCAGCAGCACCTTTCTAATGACGACACCAGGAAGGATTAACGAGATGGATTCGACCGGTGTTTGGATTTTGCTTGCGCGTTTCCTTTTGAAAAAACGATAGCATTTCATGGACGAACTGCTTCGGACTTTACATCGTTCAAGCCGTCGAAGTTGGTGACTCAGGGTTTCCCAGACTACCGGGGCCGGGTTACCGCCAACCCGGCCCCGGCGGTAAGCACGGTTACCGCGCGGTAACCGCGGTAACCGTGAAAAACCATATGAAACCGCACAAAATTTATTAAAAATTCAAACTATTTTTAAATTTATTTGAATTTAAGGAGGTTACAACGGTATTTATATTACCGTACCCCGCGGTAAGCCCGGTTACCGGTGGTAAATCGAACCTGTTAATGGTGACTAGCGTAGAGAATAATTTGGCCAGCTAAAAATTCAGACGACCAATTTACATGTAACTAACGCCAAATCAAACAAAATTTGCAAGCTTGACTCAGTGCTAAACTGCCACCATCTATACCAACCGAGTGTCGCTGTCCGCTTTGATTTGGCCGCTGGAGCAGCTCTCGAGGATCAGGATTCAAGACTTATGTACTGAAAAATACAACTCAAATTCCGGACTAGTTCATTGCCGACTACAGTACACTGGATTATTATTGGCGACACCAACCAAGCAACCACAGCTCGCCAAAGTAATCTCTCAAAGGGAGAGGCTGAAAAGAAGCAAGTGACAGAGATAAGAAAAGCAAGTGAAAAGGAGTACATGCTATACGTAATCGGATGGGTGGGGAGCCAGACAGAGGGTGTGTGTATGGCGAGAGATCGATGCGGGCACGGTGGTTTTTGCGGTGTTCTGAAGGGATCACGGGAGGAGTGGAGTGTGCAGTGGAGTGGAGCGGCGTGGGGCACATGAGCCGGGGCAGAAAGACGACGGCGGCGGCGTTGCCCACACATCAAAGATCAAAATGCAGAAAAGAGGGGCGTCGGTCTCGGCTCAAAGTTGCTTTGGTTTCACGTATGTGTAATTTTCTAATCGCGTTGGTTGCAACCGGTACCGTAGCGTGGGCTGGTCCAGGTCAGGCCACCACTGAGGCACTGACCACACCGAGCAGTGAGGAACAACGCCAGGCTACTGGATGGATGATGCAATTTTGTGGAATACCGCTGGTCCACACCACATGTGTGTACAACCGATGCTGATGACATCATGAGAATATATGGTCAGTTACAACACAAGAATCATGGAGTAAAGGAGGGAGATACCGGTATGGTATTTCTGATGACTAGCAAATTACTCACACCATACCGGTATGGAATATATGGTCAGTTAGCAACACAAGAATCATAGGATATAAAATAAAACTGCTTTATTGTGTTTTTAGGAGGGAGCATTGTGGTTTTGTTTTAGCTTTTTTTAATTGGCTGGTTTTCTTTGGAAACTGTTCAGGTATTTTTTAAGAAGGGATGGGACGTATGATCAGTTTTCTCCACCGAATTTCTGCAAACACATGGGAAGCATGGGCTGAGAGGAGAAGGATGACTCCCTTTTTACCGTAGTAGAGATAAATAAATTGGTTGGTTTCTAGAGAAACCGTTTGTCTCTTATCGAGGGATGGCACTGATTTTGTTAGACACTTGGTAAGTGCGACGTGGAGAGGAGAAGGGTGACTTTTCTTTTACTATAGTAGATAAACTATATATTTTTTTAAAAAGCTAGTAACATACCTTTTGTGTTGTTCGTATAATTTGCGGATGGATTGAAAGGGTGTGTTGAACATAAAACATTGTATCCTATGGTGATTGTGTACGCTACGTGAGAATAAAACGAACGGATACATTGCACGCGCGGTGGGAGGATGAGAAAAAGGATGGCTCCACGTTTTAGAAAAAACTTAACCCACACATTTTTGCCAAAATGAAGAGAAGGAAATTTGATGTTTTTAGAATAAATAATTTTGCATATGTAGGGAGAATGAAGTTGTAGATGTGAAGTAGGCCTAGAGCCATAGAGTCAAACCTAAACTAATTTCAAAAGTGAACCTAACTTCAAAGAGAATTAATCTCATGATTCTATACAATGAAAGTAAAGAGTGTACCAATTAGTTAGAATTGCACTGAGCCAAAGTAGTACATGATAAAGTTGCCTTGTAGATTCTACGTCTTGATAATGACAATTCATGTTGAATATATTTTCATTTTAATAACACAACAATCCTTTAAAACCATTTACAACCTTACACTTTAAATATCGGGATCATTTAGATTTGAACTAATTAAACCATTCATTTACCCTCAAACAAAGCCAAGATAGTTTTTATCCTAAGGACATTGGCATGCTAGATATAATCATGTAATTTGCTCCTTGTTTGTTTTTACGGTTGTTCACTCCACCTTGTATCCGTTGTTGCTCTTCTTAACCACATGTTTGATGATTGTTGTCCTCCTATGTGCTTCGTGGTTGTTACTGTCCGAGCACCTGATACGTATGACGATAGAGACCATGATGACTAATGGCGTCCATGGGTAGAAGCGTAAGACCCGATTCGTCTTGAGAAATATTGTTCCCAGTTATTATAGCGAAAACCCCTACATATATATACCCATATACCTATATTGCTTATATAATAATCACCCATGTAATAGTTCATAGTATATACTATTCAGTACCTTTTTCTATATTCCCTGCTTACGTTGTGTTTAATTTGTACAATGATCCTTGCTTCTGACCCATAAAATCACTTTTAGGGCCCGTTTAGTTCCCCAAATTTTTTTCCCAAAAACATCACATCGAATTATTGGACACATGCATGAAGCATTAAATATAGATAAAAAGAAAAACTAATTGCACAGCTATGGGGGAAATCGCGAGATGAATCTTGTAAGCCTAATTAGTCTGTGATTAGCCATAAGTGCTACAGTAATCCACATGTGTTAATGACGGCTTAATTAGTCTCAAAAGATTCGTCTCGCGGTTTTCAGACGAGTTCTGAAATTAGTTTTTTCATTCGTGTCCGAAAACCCCTTCCGACATCCGGTCAAACGTTTGATGTGACACCCAAAAATTTTCTTTTTCCCAACTAAACACACCCTTAGAACGCACAATAGATGCTCTAACCTAACAAAGCTCATTCGAGTACAACCACAGAAACGCAGTGTGAAGAGAAAAACCCTTCACAGGCAGTACAACCCATGATGTGCCCCATCTCAGACACAAACAGCCTGCTGGTGTCCTTGAGCCTCTTGACAGCGAGGCCATCATGTGTGCCCGAGAGCGACCAGCCGCTGGGCGCTGGCAAGCGGTGCGCGTTTCAAAAAGCTTTTGAAAAAAGAAAACTATTACTACTACTACTATCCGCTAAAAATTGTTTTAAAAAAGCACCGGTAGAAGCCAAACCAAATCTTTGTTTTTTTTTCACATTTCGCTTTTCCCCTCCCTTTCCACTAAAAAACACTCGCTCGCCCCCCCTCCCCCCAACTCCACCTGCTGCTGCTTCGCTTCGTCTCCACTTCACCAAACCCTCGCGCGCCGTGGAGGAGGTGGAGGCGAGAGCGGAGCAGGAAGATGGCGAGCGGAAGCAATGGCCAATGAGTGCGCGGTAGCCTCGCCTTTTCTACCCCAGCGCCTGCCGTATTAGCTTAGTGCTCGGGTTGGTGCGGCGGGGACTTCGGTGGGGGGCGCGCGGCTTCGCTTCTCGGGCACGCCTCCGCTCGCCCGGATCTGGGCTGCGGCGGCGAGATCCTGAGCTCAGATTCGTCGCGGAGGTAAGGTGCGTGGTTGGATTTTTTTTTCCTTTTTTCGTGCGGTCGGTTTGATGGTGCTTGCTGGTTAGTGATTCGCGCTGCGCGCGGATTTGTGCTTAATTGGTTGGTCTGGGTTGGTGGGGGTGGCGGCTCAGGTGGCGGCGATGGATTCCGCGGCGGCGGCGGGGGAGGGGCAGCGGTTCAAGCGCATTCCGCGGCAGTCGTTGGCGGGGAACCTGGAGCTGGATCCACTGGTATGTTTCGCTCTAATATTCTGTAGTCCTGCTTGTGGCGCTGTTCATTTGGTGGTGCGAATGTGGGTGCGGTGTGTATTGAGCTACCAGGAGTGGTGGTGGTACCGCAGACAATGTGGTGCGTGTGAACCTGGAGATGTTTGGAATGCAGTGAAGAGGGCACGGTCGAGATCTCAATATCTCAGCTTCTATTGCTTATATTTTCTAAGTGTACTAATTGTTCGGTGAGGGCTGAGTAGTGCAAAATGGCAGTGGTGATATCCAGTGCAGTGGAAGTGAAGGAGCTGCTGGCATTGTGCTGTTGAGTGAAACCTGCACAATGTGATGTGTTTTTTAAATCTCCTCTTTGCTACGATGCTTGTGTATGTAGTGTTCACACCAAATTGGCTGCTTTATATGGTTGGACTTGCAATGCTTTATTTTTTCCTTTTGTTGGATATGCTTGTAATGCCAAAATGTATCTATTAAATTGTTCATTGCATTGCTATAGGCTGGTGGTTTTGTGCATCTTTGGGTGCAGGGGTTGATATGTTGATATCCCATTATCTAAAATTGCTATAGGCCACTCTAACTGGAAACACACTAGTCACTACTCTGGTCTATGGGTTAATGACTTCATATTTTTCTCACCTATAGCATTCTATCGTAGAATTATTCACTGTACATTTAGTACTGAACATCCTTAGTTGACAATGTTTCATTTTGCTCTTTTCTTATCACAGTTGACAATATAAAACCCAATAGCTAATGCTGCATGGTTTTAATAGTCTTCTTCTTTTGGATTTCAGCTTAATGAAAATTTAGATCAATGGCCACATCTAAATGAGCTGGTTCAGTGCTATAAGGCTGATTTTGTGAAAGACGACTGCAAATATGGACGATATGAAAGTGTTGCACCACCATCTTTTCAGAATCAAATTTTTGAGGGACCTGATACTGACTTAGAAACAGGTATTCTACCGTAACTGAATTTGCCTCAGATGCACAGTGCAGAGTACCTCAGGGATAGTAGCTGATTTTCTTCTTTTGGGTCACAGAATTGCAGCTTAGCAATGATAGGCAATCCAAGCCTGATGAAGTTACTGAAGATGATATGCCAAGCACATCAGGGAGACAATTATATGAGACTGAAGTGCCCGCTTCATCCTCAAAAAAAGTATGTATTAGTTCATTTAATTTCTAGTCATGTAGGTGTTATATTATTTCCTGCCTACTTCACCTTTAGTGCCATAAAATGCTTGCTTAAACCACCTCCCCTATGATTAATCTGAGTGAATACACAGGAGGCTAGTTGCGTTTGATCTAAGCTATTTGCCTATTTCATGTTAAGTTCTTTATGTATTTCAATTGCATGTTAGGCCTCTGTTTCATCTTCTGTAATGCTTGTTGAACATTTTGTGCGCTCAGTTTACTTGTCTGAATCCATTTATGTTTCAATCAATTGTAGTACTGTTCAAATGCTTTCTGATTTATTAATTCGTATGCAAGTAGGCTATGTAGCACAAACTATTATTGTTGACATGGACATTTCAAGCAGAAACATTTTGTGCCACACTGATTTTTCTTTACTTAATAGTTATATAGTTATTCTTCACCGCGTTACATGCTCTCCTTTTGCCTGTCTGTCAGTCATCTATTATCTTTAATGTCTATAGTTCACCTTCATCGATCTAGATGACAATAGCATGTGCAGCAGCAATTGCCATCTTGATGTAGGGCATTAACAACATGTTATTGTTTTTTCAGCACTGCAGTCTATCACCTTTACCAGCATATGAACCGGCATTTGATTGGGAAAATGAGAGATCTTTGATATTCGGCCAACGGGTGCCAGAAAGTGTCCCTGCAATAAACAGCAGGTTTTCAACCTCACGCTCAAGAATTACATATATCATGCACTGAGCTTCCTTTTCTTGTTAATCCCATGTTATTAACTATTCTCTACTGATTACAGTGGATTGAAGATAACTGTCAAGGTGTTATCTTTGTCATTTCAAGCTGGATTAGTTGGTGAGCATAAATAAACACTGAAGTTTGTCTGTCTCTTAACTGCTAGACTTTATAGACCTGCCTTCTGATCACATATCATTTGCAGAGCCTTTTAGTGGTACAATCTGCTTGTACAACAGAGACAGAAGAGAAAAATTGTCAGAAGATTTCTATTTTCATATACTCCCAACAGAAATGCAAGATGTAAGGAGCAACTGAAAACTTCCTTCTGGGCTTCTATTGCATCCCTCTAAATTTTTGCAATTAGTATTTACAAAAAGAAACAGCTGTATCTCATTAATTACTCTGAAATTCTGTCCTAATCTTATTTGCTTTCTTACTAAACAAATTTCTTTTCTTCTGTATTCAATTAGGCTCAGATTTCTCTAGACCGCCGAGGTGTTTTTTCATTGGATGCCCCTTCACCATCAGTGTGCCTTCTGATTCAGCTAGAGAAGGCTGCCACTGAGGAAGGGGGAGTAACACCCTCTGTTTATTCTCGTAAAGAACCTGTAAGAAAGAAATTATTCATTTGTAAAAAAGCAGTGTTGATCCCTAAGTGTATCATATGCACTTATGACCCTTGTGCTAACTTTCATGATATAGGTTCACTTGACTGATAAAGAGAAGCAAAAATTGCAAGTCTGGTCTCGAATCATGCCATATAGAGAGTCGTTCGCATGGGCTATGATTCCACTGTTTGAGAACAACCAGGCTGGTGGTGCTGCCTCTCCCAGTAGCCCTCTAGCACCAAGTATGTCAGGCTCAAGTTCTCAAGATAGTATAGTGGAGCCTATTTCCAAGCTCACTTTGGATGGAAAGCTCAATCATTATTCAAGTGGAAGCTCAGTTATTGTAGAGATATCAAATTTGAACAAAGTGAAGGAAAGCTACATAGAGGACTCCCTCCAAGTAAGCACAAGCAGCTAAGCACAGCTAGTTCATATTGTTAACAGATAGATAATTGATTATTTTATTTTTTGGCCACTTGTAGGACCCCAAAAGAAAAGTACACAAACCAGTGAAAGGTGTACTGAGGTTAGAGGTGGAAAAACTTCATAATGGCCACAACGACATGGATAACATTTCTGAGGGCGGTAGCATGGCCAATGATTTGAATGATGCTGGTGAACTCAATAATGGTAGATACAACCGGAGTAGCTTTGATGGGATCCATGGTTCTTTGAATTCTAGTGCCGTGGCCCAGAAAGATGCACATCAGAATGGTCAAGCTTCCAATACAGAGAGTGGTGAAAATGTAACTACAAAAATGCTTCATCTACCTCATTTTGTGGAGTGTTAACTTTTGAGGCTTGTACCATGGACTAACACTTGCTTTCCTGTTTGTATGACATGGTTCTTTCTTGTTTCAGTTTCAAGCTTTTGACTTTCGGATGATGACCCGAAGTGAGCCATTTTCACAACTCTTCCATTGTCTCTATGTGTACCCACTGACTATTAGCTTGGGCCGTAAAAGAAATCTATTTGTAAGAGTGGAATTGAGAAAGGATGATTCTGACATCCGCAAGCCTCCATTAGAGGTTTGTTTACACATGCATTATACTCTTTGTGTTTTGTTGTTTTTGTTGTTCAGTATGCTTAGCCACTAGATATCGAATTTCAGGCTGTTCATCCAAGGGATCGGAACACAACACTACAGAAGTGGGCGCATACTCAGATTGCTGTTGGAACGAGAATGGCTTGCTACCATGATGAAGTTAAAATCAGTCTGCCTGCTCTCTTGACACCCCAACATCATCTTCTGTTCACATTTTACCATGTAGATCTCCAAATGAAACCTGAAGCCCCCAAACCAGTATGCTTTCTGTTCCTTATCACTAAGGTACACTTGTGTTTGGTTCGTGTGCATTCTGCTAGTGCCTAACATTTTCTTCCTTCAGGTTGTCGTGGGATATGCTGTTCTTCCACTGTCGACACACATTCAGTATGCAATTATACATTTTTTCCTCCTCTTGTTTTCAAAGTTGAAATATTTGTATTGAATTAATCTTGGACAGCTGCTTCATATATGGGACCTCATCCTATTGATGCTTTACTAGCATACCTACTAATTCAGTTTATGTTATTTAAGCAAATATGTGAAGAACTAGGATTTTGTTGAAACTTGGGAGAGCAATCTTTATAGGGTTGTGCCATCAAGTTATATGTACACCATGGTTTGACTCCAGCAGATAATGAAAGCTTAATGAAGAAATTCAGATCACTAGTATTTATCATTTTGTCGTGTACTAAGAATCAAAGAAAGCACCGTGGTACTTACTCAATAGGAGCCCTGAATGCTGCATACCATATCAACCATACTTTTGATCAAATGCTAGTAGCAGCGTGCTTTTAATATATGTATGGAAACTGCCCTTTTCTTTCCACGTAACATCCATTGGCCATCTTGAAAATTAGATCACAATCTCATACCATCTGTAACTGTTATCACAAGTTTAATGAGGAACTCTGAAGTGCTTATAATATCTTATTGAGTTTTTATAATGGAATTGAAATTGATATGCAACATTATTCTGAATCTAATAGGTTACTTTCAGACGTATCTTTGCCAATTTTAAGAGAACTTGTTCCACATTACCTGCAGGAAAGTGGAAAGGTTTGCTGCTTATCTTTGCCCCCTCCCTCTCCCCTTCTTTTTGTTTACCGTAGTGCAAATTTCATCTTCAAAAACATTTTCTGTAGTGTTTTTTATTTACATTTTCATTCTTATACAGGAAAGAATGGACTATCTGGAGGATGGCAAAACTGTTTTTAGGTTGCGATTAAGACTTTGTTCTTCATTATTCCCAGTTAATGAAAGAATAAGAGACTTTTTTGTCGAGTATGACCGCCATACACTTCATACAAGTCCACCTTGGGGTTCTGAGCTTCTTGAGGTATCTATTTTGTTCCACTTCCTACATGACTATACTTGGAGCCTCTGCTGTTAATTTCCTTATTTATTCTACTCCTGCTGCTATTTGTCTTTTATGATGAACACTTAAGCAAGACATTTGCCTTTTGCGGCCAACAGATGGTAATAGTCTGTTTGGCCTGTTCGTTCGTTCATGAAGCAGGCCAGAGGGATTCACACTCTTCAACTGTTTGTGAAAACTCTTTATTTAAGCTGTTCATTCTGGTTATATGCATACTTAGGCTGTGTTCTTTAGCCTAAGTCCCCGACTCAACTCCCTCGTTTTCCGCGTGCACGCTTCCCAAACTGCTAAACAGTGTTTTTCTTTGCAAAAAGTTTCTGTAGAAAAGTTGCTTTAAAAAATCAAATTAATCTATTTTCATTTTTTATAGCTAATACTTAATTAATCATGCGTTAATCCATTGCTCCATTTTGCGTGTGGAGGGGAGGGGTTCCCAACCCCTCCAAACAAACACAGCCGTACAGTAGATACCAACACTATATATACATTGGCATCTAAGCTTTGGATTTTACTCTGTTGCAGGCCATAAACAGTTTAAAGAATGTTGAATCTACTGCACTGTTGCAATTTCTCCAACCCATACTTAATATGCTACTTCATCTTATCGGTGATGGTGGTGAAACCCTTCAGGTTGTTGGTTGTTGTCTTTCTGTTGTACATAATAAGTTTACTATTCAATAATGCTCAATTATGCTTGATGTTGCATGTCTATGTATTTTGCAGGTTGCCGCATTTCGAGCTATGGTCAATATCCTAACCCGGTAATTTTGTGCTTTCTTGTTTGTTTTATATGCATCTTTTCACTTTTGGTTTTACTAGCTTCTCTCTAGAGCTCTAGCGTTCTGTGCTGATCGAGTGTTTGAATCCATGACACAATATGAAAACTGCTAATCTCTTGTTATATCAGTTCAGCACTTAGGACCATATGATGTACCACAAATTAAGTTACAGACAATGCATTGCTCTTGCAGGGTCCAGCAGGAATCATCTGATGGGGCTGAGAGAAATCGGTTTCTTGTTAGTTATGTTGATTATGCTTTTGATGACTTTGGTGATCGGCAAGCACCTGTATACCCTGGTCTGTCTACTGTTTGGGGAAGCCTGGCTCGGAGTAAGGTTAGTATAGGTTTCCTCTTTCTGTTTTGAGCAATCTATTATTGGGTGTGTTCTGCTTGATATCATCATGTTTATTATAGTTGTGGCTTTCAATGTTTGTGCTTGAGCCTTATAAGCCAAGTAGAGGGTACCCTTGGTGCTACTAATACTGTTTAAAACTGATATCATGCAGACATCCATGAAGTTATCATTATAGCCAGAATTTTCTAGTTATAAAGATTAAATTCTTACTCATGCACTTGCATGGATAAGTTAAACTCCTGATGATGTTCTTGCACAGACCAATTTAACCCAAAGGCCTAAGCTGAATACCATAATGACTTTATATTCTAACAACCACCTGAATACCTAAAACCATTTTGCTTCCTGAGTTCTTGCATCCCAATATATCATCTGTTAACGCTCGTCCTTGTCATGTTTTTTCCTGTATATTTTGAATTCTCCTGAGTGAATGCTTTATTCAATCAGCCTTTAACAGGCCTACCTTTCTCTGCTGCTTTGCTTCACTATTAATTCTTCTGTTTTGTTTTCTAGGCTAAAGGTTATAGAGTTGGGCCAGTCTATGATGATGTGCTGGCAATGGCTTGGTTTTTTCTGGAGCTTATTGTAAAATCGATGGGATTGGAACAAAGTCGTCTATTTTACCATAATCTTCCACTAGGTAGCAGCATATGTTCACCTGTCTCAGAGCAGTTCACACAACATTTTCATTATAAGAATATGTGATCATCAAATAAAGTGTGTTTTTGATTGTTTGCTGTCATGCTCTAGGTGAAGATGTCCCACCGCTACAGTTGAAAGATGGTGTCTTCCGATGTATCATGCAGCTGTTTGATTGCCTTCTAACTGAGGTTCATGAGCGCTGTAAAAAGGGTTTAAGCTTGGCGAAGCGCTTGAACAGCACACTTGCTTTCTTTTGTTATGATCTTCTATCAATTATTGAGCCACGCCAAGTTTTTGAGCTGGTAATGTTGGAAATCACATTTAAATTTTTCGTTCTTGCCCTGATTCTTTGTTATTTATGCATCGAATTCTTCTGTTTGTTCGCAAAGAAATCCTGCTTTGCTTCAACATTCCTGTTCCTTTTAAGGGTGGCCATTTGACTTCTTGGTATTGTTTCTGTTAATATTTGTACCCCTTTTTCCTGTTGGTTGTTTGGGATTTATTTGAGTCAATTTGTATGAGTCGCCAGTGAAAAGCTTTGTCTCATGCATCTTTGTGCATAAAACGCTGGTAAATAAATGCACCCTCTCTGCTTTTCAGGTTTCATTGTATATGGACAAGTTTGCAGGAGTTTGCCAGTCAATTCTCCATGATTGCAAATTGACATTCCTTCAGATAATATGTGACCATGATCTTTTTGTTGAGATGCCTGGTCGTGACCCCTCTGATAGGTATGTTGGCCCTTAGGTCCCTCATTTGTGGATGTTTGCCTTCCCAATATATGTTGGCAATACTTATCTGCTTTTCAAACATATTTTGGTGGACTGGCAATTTATTCAGAGACTTTAGGCTTCTTTCTTTAAGTTCGAAATATTTCTTAACATGAAGGCATTCATTCTCTGTTATTTATACAAATCTTGGTATGGGGATTTTATACATTTCTAATCCTTATAATGGTCATTCCTGTTTTTTTTTTAAATAAATAACCCTATCCCTGCATGCTCTTTGCCTTAGGTTGCTAAAAGTTTTAGGCACTTTATATCTTGTGAATTAGCATGTTTGAGCTAAATACTCTGTTTTTGCAGAAATTATCTCTCGTCAGTACTTATTCAAGAGATTTTTCTCACCCTTGACCATGATGATCTATCTCAGCGAGCGAAAGTAAGAATCTTAATTGCAAGACAAACACTTTGGTTCACCACTCAATACATTCTCTTCTACCTTTTCAACCTGTCTTACTTGTGATGGAAAATAACTTTTCTTGCTTATGGGAATTTTATTTACTGTAGGCAGCCCGTATTTTGGTTGTTCTAATATGCAAGCATGAATTTGATGCACGATATCAAAAAAGTGAAGACAAGCTGTATATTGCTCAGCTGTATTTTTCTCTTATAGGACAGGTATTTGCACATTTACTTCGTAATAACTACATTGCAATGAATATTGGTAATTAGTACATTGTTCTCTGCAAGATTTATCATACACAGGGTTGTAGTTACAAAATTTGTTGCTTGTGGAAAACTCTGATTTTTGCAGATTCTAGATGAGATGCCTGTATTCTATAATCTAAATGCTGTTGAAAAGCGTGAGGTGCTGGTAGTCATTTTGCAAATCATAAGGAACTTGGACGACATGACTCTGATCAAAGCATGGCAACAGAGCATTGCTAGAACCAGATTGTTCTTCAAGCTACTTGAAGAATGCATTACCCATTTTGAGGTCTGTAGCATGATTTCATTCAGAACTTAGAAAGAAGTATTTTCAATATTTTTGGCATTGGTGTGAAGTGTTTTCAATATTATTAACATTGGTGAAGACATACTGGTATTATCGCTGCCAGTAAATTTGTATCGAACGTATTTCTGACATTCCCTGTAACTCCACTGCTATGGTGGTTGTGTTGAAATGCACCCTGATTAATGCGTCCACACAATAGAGTAAAGGGTTGTGTGTTAAGGATTTTCTTGGTGGAGCACATCTCCTTTCCCTACATTTGATAGTTAATATATATTTTTTTTAAAAAAATGGCAAACAACTCTTTCAGGTGACGGATTTTGGAGTATATCTGAATCCAATTTCTTTTCATTGCGGTGGTGTTATATATTTGTGTTTGGGCATTTCAAAACTGACACATACACACATATAAATTACTTAGTGGCAAGCACCTCCCCCTTTTTAATTGGTAGTATTGCATGATAACAGTATCTAATCCATCTAACCTCAGATATACAAATTTTGATCTGGTAAGATTTGTGCGTTGATTTATCACTGATTATGAGTACTCTTATATTATTACAGTTTATTTGATGCTAAATCTCTTTAATGTATTCTGCAGCACAACAAAACAGGAGACAGCTTGTTACTAGGCTCAAGTTCACGGAGCCCTGATGCTGAGCGCCCTGCATCTCCAAAGTACTCCGATCGATTATCCCCATCAGTTAATGCATATTTGTCTGAGGCATCACGCCATGAAATAAGGGTATGTTGGTGCATTATTTTAGTGAGCATTGTCACATATTTGATAAGCTTTCTTGGAGTATCTTTGTTAGAGTCAGGTTGGATATGTCTTGAGTAGGTTTTTGAATGTGTGCTGGATCAGATACCTAAGATTGCCATTGTCAGCATTGTTGCTGGTTGGAATTGCAAAGAATATGTATTGCAGGCACACAAGTAGAAAGTGATTACATATGGATAACCTATACTATGTTCCCAGGAGACCATCCCTATACAATTTTCTGGTTTTACCCCCTGTATTCCCAAGGGTAAAATAATGATGCGAGTTCTCTTGTGATAGTCACACTGCTACACATGTACAAATTTTACCATAACTTTTGCCTTGTTGGTTTAATGCCATTGGAATAGCCAAATTCTTAACAGGACTCCATCGACAGCATTAAAGCATTTTAACCATGTAAATGCGACTGCTGTTCCCCTCCCAATATGCCGAATATTCCATATACTAGTACCATTAAACCTAGGTAGTTGATCTCATGTAATCACTGAAATGATGTTTTCAGAAGAATATTTCAGATGGTAACATGGTAAGTAGTTGCCCAGTAGTTATCTGCAGTTTGTGTGCAAACATTATTTATGGTCCAAAGTGCAGAAACTAATGTTTTCCCTAGGTTATTTAAAGGATTGCTGTAGTGGAAATGTTTACCGAGTGTCTCAATTGTTACTGAGATTTAACAATATCTAGTGAACTATGCAGGAGTGCAATTAAGCCTGTGTCATGAAGAAAGTGTTCTGTACCTACCATACGTGCAGATACTTCTTTTTTTGTGATTACACGGCAGATTCACACACCCCACTAAACCCACCCCCACCCCACACTGCGCGAATGCGCCTCCTAACATGCGGTCAAAGATACGGAAACCAGTGCACCACGGTCAAAGATACGGAAACCAGCTCACCAAAATCCTGTTGAAAGCCCATCTGCATGTGTGTAATATTTGTGGGCACTAGGATTTTAACCCTGGTGGGTGGAGTCATGCACCCATGACTCCACCACACCATTGGTGCTTCCCCTCATACGTGTAGAAATTTGGTTGTGACAAAGAAACTCCTTGATTATGGTAAACGTTTTAGTCACATGTTTTCACAATGATCACTGCTATTTAATGCAGCCTCAGGGAACACCAGAAAATGGATACATGTGGAACAGGGTTAGTCCTCAACTGAGCTCTCCTAACCAGCCCTATTCATTGAGAGAAGCACTTGCTCAAGCGCAGTCTTCAAGGATTGGATCAACCGCGAGGGCACTGAGAGAATCTCTACATCCAGTGCTGAGACAAAAGTTGGTACGTATTACAATCTTATGTGGATCTTTATGTTTCTTCTCTTTTTCTTTTTGAAAAATCTGACAGAAAATTCCTACAGGAACTGTGGGAAGAAAATCTCAGTACTGCTGTGAGCCTGGAAGTGTTGGGAATAATTGATAAGTTTTCAGTCGCTGCAGCTTCTCGTAGCATCACTACTGATTACGCAAAGCTAGATTGTGTAACATCTGTATTAATGGGTCTTTTATCAAGGAGCCAGCCCTTAGCTTTTTGGAAAGCTTTCCTTCCTGTGGTGTATAATATATTTAACCTCCATGGCGCAACACTGATGGCAAGGGAGAATGATCGCTTCTTGAAGCAAATTGCTTTTCATCTTTTGCGCCTTGCTGTTTTCCGGAATGATTCTATTAGAAAAAGGGCTGTTGTTGGGTTGCAGATTCTTGTTAGGGTAAGCTGCTTGTTACATTCAATTTTATACAGTCATGAACTGAATGATTCTAATATAGATATTCTCATCCTTGCAGAACTCGTTTAATTATTTTAAGAACACCACAAGGTTGAGGGTGATGTTGACAATCACTTTGTCAGAACTTATGTCTGATGTGCAAGTAACTCAGATGAAATCTGATGGCTCTCTTGAGGAAAGTGGTGAAACTCGGTGCCTTAGGAAATCACTAGAGGAAATGGCTGATGTACGAAGTAAGGATCTCTTGAAAGATTGTGGCCTCCCTGTTAATGCACTGGAGGCAGCGCCTGAAGGGTCGACTGATAATAGGTGGTCTTGGGTAGAAGTTAAACATCTATCCAAATGTCTAGTCCAGGCCCTTGATGCTGGTCTTGAACATGCCCTCTTGGTAAGCAATTCTTGTTAATGAATCCTCTTATGCTTCCCAGAAGTGAAAGGGCCATCCCATATGCTAAATTGAATAGGCAATCCGTGGAAATTTTAACTACTTTTTTGTCATACTGCACACTTGAAACACCTAAATATCAGCTATGCTATTTCTTTCCATTTGTGTTTTCGTGAATTGAATTTCTAAAACTCTATATTTTCTATGTTCTTTGCAGGGCTCTGAAATGACTCTGGACAGGTACGCTGCTGCTGAGGGTTTCTATAAGCTAGCAATGGCCTACGCGCCTGTGCCAGATCTTCATATAATGTGGTTACTGCATCTATGTGATGCACATCAGGAGATGCAATCATGGGCTGAAGCTGCACAATGTGCAGTTGCTGTAGCTGGTGTTATCATGCAGGTTTTAATTTTTTTTCTCGAGTTTGTCTTTTGTTGCAAGAATCTTGTAATTCCTTTATGGAGTTTTTTTATCTTTAAAATTTTCTTATAGGCACTTGTTGGAAGGAATGATGCGGTGTGGAGTAAGGAGCATGTTGCTTCCCTATGTAAGATTTGCCCTATTGTGAACACTGATGTTAGCTCAGAAGCATCTGCAGCAGAAGTTGAGGGATATGGTGCATCCAAGCTTACTGTGGATTCAGCTGTCAAGTATCTTCAGCTGGCAAACAAACTTTTTGCACAAGCCGAACTCTATCACTTTTGTGCTAGTATTCAGGAACTCATCATTCCTGTGTATAAAAGCAGAAGGGCATATGGGCATCTGGCTAAGTGTCATACATCACTCAAGGATATCTATGAGTCAATTCTTGAACAGGAGGCTAGTCCTATACCATTCATTGATGCTACCTACTACCGGGTAGGGTTTTATGGGGAGCGGTTTGGCAAACTCAACAAAAAGGAGTATGTGTTCAGAGAGCCAAGAGATGTTCGTCTTGGTGACATAATGGAGAAGCTTAGTCATATCTATGAGGCTAAAATGGATGGCAATCACACCTTACACATCATTCCGGATTCGAGACAAGTCAACGCTGATGAGTTGCAACCTGGTGTCTGCTATCTGCAGATAACTGCTGTTGATCCTGTAATGGAGGATGAGGACCTAGGGAGTAGAAGGGAAAGGATTTTCTCTTTATCTACTGGTACTGTCCGGGCCCGTGTGTTCGACCGTTTTCTTTTTGATACACCATTCACAAAGAATGGAAAAACACAAGGTGGCCTTGAAGATCAGTGGAAGAGGCGCACAGTACTCCAGACAGAGGGTTCCTTTCCTGCTTTGGTGAATCGTCTGTTAGTGATCAAATCAGAATCTCTAGAGTTTTCTCCTGTTGAGAATGCGATTGGAATGATCGAGACAAGGACAGCTGCCTTGCGAAATGAACTAGAAGAACCACGCAGTTCGGAAGGTGACCAACTCCCAAGACTCCAAAGCCTGCAGAGGATACTCCAAGGAAGTGTGGCTGTTCAGGTAAGCTGTAAGCCTGTAACTCTTGTGCAGAATTTGAACCATTTTTTAAGAATGCCTTGAGTATATGCTCCTCTATTTTCTTTCTTTTGCTAACTTTTACAAAAACCTGACGATGCAGGTAAATAGTGGTGTATTAAGTGTGTGCACTGCATTCTTATCTGGTGAGCCCGCAACTAGGCTCCGATCTCAAGAACTGCAGCAGCTCATCGCTGCATTGCTGGAATTCATGGCCGTCTGCAAGCGCGCAATCCGTGTGCATTTTAGATTGATAGGGGAAGAAGACCAGGAATTCCACACTCAACTAGTCAATGGCTTTCAGTCGCTCACAGCTGAGCTTTCACACTATATTCCTGCAATTCTTTCAGAGCTATAACTGTATTCTAGCAAGCTGGCAAGTAGGTAGCATTTGAATGGTTCATTCTTTCAGTTGGGGCTCCCCACCTTGTCCATAATTCCGTTAGTTTGGTTGTATAGTTCTGGAAAACTAACTAGGCTTTTCAATTCTGTTCTGTTTGCAATGCCGTGCCACGATTTTGGGGGTGTAAAGCTTGTGTAATCCTTAGTGTGTTGTATCTCTATTACCTTGTTTATGCGGTTTGTAGACTAATAGCAAGCTATATAGCAGTAACTATTCGAGTGGACAGTTGTGTTCATCTGGAGTGATATATAATGGCTATGGTTCTGGGTGTTCTTTCCTTCATAACGGGCATTCTCGCAAATTTAACCTATGTTGATCACAGGTTTAGTTAATTTTGACAAAAAATTCTATGCACATGACGTGAATTCATATGCAGTGTTTGTAAGTTACTCACCTGTTCTTCACTGTAACTCGGCCTATATCATCAAGCCAGTCCTTGTACCATCATAGGCCGGACAGGATACTTTATTAGATGTTCTACCCAGTATAGTCCTTGTAACATCAAACCAAGTTCGTTTTAGAGTTTGGTACCTCCTTCCTATAATGTTATACTGATAAAATTCTTTATATTTTAGGATAGAGATAATATGATAACGAATACACTCAGGGACCCACATACTCAACCAGGTGATATGGAAAATATTGCTTGAAAATACAAAAAATCAATGATGGTCATATAATGTACCAGTGCTCAACGATGTTTCATGCAATGCATGGGGAGATTACCAGGTCAATGTATATACTATTAGTCTACATCAATACAATAGGTCCATCAACAGTTTAACATTGCATTTTCCACACTAAATACGTACTTCAAGTCTTCAACAGCAAATACAACCGACACAACATGGCATCTGACACTATACCACCTACACAGAAAATCAAGAACAACATTACATCTACAGTTAATATGTCAAAGGGAACTAACCTACAGGGAAAATGAATACAGAATCAGCAAGTATTAACGACCAATGATGCTCTTCAAGTTCTCTGTTTCTGGATGACATAAGCCACTCCACGTACCACGTGGATCTTCAGAAGAATGTTTGCTTCGATTTGCGTCAGAACGATCAGCTTTCGAAGGCAGACAAGTGCTACTACTTATTCACACTAACTGGGGTGTGGCTCAGCAAAAATATGAGCCTTGACAGTTAAATGAGGAAGTTTGTTTTGCATTTCCTGAAATCAGCTGATCAGACTATTAGAATGACATTGAATTGATACTGCTTTACCGCAATTCACTTTGGTCTCCTATGTACCTGCAGCCTACCAGGCAGCTTTCATATCTCAGTATGTTTTAGCTTCTCCCTTCGCTTTCTCGCAGCTCCAAGACATTCATGTGGATTAGCATAGAAGTAGTCCTCTTCCTTTGGCTGCCCGGCAATAGCTTTCCTTCTGGTGGGTTCGCTCATTCGGCCCTCGTGTAGCTCCTTCACAGCAGTAGAGAATTCGTCCCAGGACAGCTCCTGATCTTCAAGAAGATCTATAAGCTCAACTAGCTTTTTCCTATCAAGCTGTATGGTTTTGTGAAAGCCCATAAACCTGCATTTCCAACATAAACATTTGCAGTTAACCTAGTGGTGGTGTTCTTCTAAACTAGTCTTTCTCACTATTGTGATGATTCTTAAAAGCAAACATATACCATTTCTCGGACAAAAAAAGGAACACCTATAACCTTGTGACAGGACACAGTGCAGATGTAAGTGTGCACGCCAATAAACATTTTGTTCCACTCCTTACTATACTTAACATATTGCAGTAATACACACACAATGGCAAGTCAAACAAGAACAAACAGAAGGAATATCGAAGTGGCAGACCTGCGATGTCCTTCTACAACCTTAGCCATGTTTCCGTCATTACTGGGGATAAAAACATCACTAGCAATAGACACAAGATAGTCCAGGGCTGCCATTTGAGTCGAATGCTTCTGGAAGGGGCGTAACTCATCAGCAGATAAAAGCATCTCCTTCCGAATCTAAAATTGCAATAGTGGATAAGCATCTTTCTAGCATTAGTATATGTTTTCATGGGCGTTAAATTATGATGTGCTTACAATGTTAGGGAATTCTGTCTTCAGTTCAGTTAATCTTTTTTCACCACCATAGATTTCACCCGAGGCAATATATATCCGAGTGTCCCTGGGGAAACCAAGAGCTTTGAGTACTAATGTTGTTTCTCCGGGTGTTAGGGGGCATAATCCTTCGAGCCTTTTCTTTTCAGAATCTATTTCTTTTTCTTTCCACCAAGGGTACGCATACCTGATGTCCAAATAGCAGATAACAGTAGAGATTGATTAGAGTCTGGGAGAAGTAAGTGCAGACAGTTATGAAGTTCAATATCGAATGAAACCTCATTCTCGTGAGCTCTGCTGTTTCTTCGTCAGAACATCCATGTGTACAACCAGAGAATGCAAGCATATCCATCTCGTATCTCAGATGAAGCACAATAAAAGATCCAGTTTTCCTAAGAGCTGATATCATCTTTTTGCCAAGAGCCTCAATTGATGGTGCAAATTGTAGTGCATTGTAGTTAACACGGCAACGAAGCTTTTGGAGCTTTAAAGGAAGGCCATTATTTGCAAGGCGAGAATCTGTCCTGCTAAAACGTACCACCTTATGCTTCCGTACTAGAGGCAAGATCTGAAAGCAAGAGCACTAAAAAAGTCAAAAGAAGCAGTGGATAGCATAGAAATGTAAGGCCCCCTTTGAATCATAGGAATGAAAAAACGGAAGAATAGGAAAAACATAGGATTCTCACAAGAATACAAGTGTAAAACAGAGGATTACAAAACACAGGAAAAACATTGAATGACCGTTTGATTGAGCCGTAGGAAAAACACAGGAATTTGAGGAGAGATAAAGACTAAGGATTCTTAACATGAGGTTCTACCTCATGCTAAATTTCCTCTAAAACTTGCATGGGAAGAGGCATTCCATAGGAATTTCATAGGATTCCATAGGATTCATTTCTTTGATTCAAAGGGCTATATAAGAAAAATTCCTATAGGAATGAAATCCTTTAAAATTCCTATGAATTTCCTTTGAATAAAAGGGGGCCTAAACCTATGCCTTGGAGGAAGATTAGTATCAACCTGTCTCAAATAGTACTTCTCGCTAGACCAGCTGATTGGCTGCATTGAGAATGGAACTTTCCTGCTGAATTTCTGTGGCAGTTCCCTGATGATCTTTACTTCATCTTGTAAAGAATTGATGAAGTGGTTTACATCAAAAATATCTCCAAAATCACTGGAAAATATAACTACATTGAATCAATAATAGTGCATTCTAACTGTAAAATCAATCATGAAGGAAGTGAGAATGTGGGACTGGTGGGAAAACCACACACCTAGGATCAGCCCAGAAGGACTGCTTATCAAGTTCAGGTACCACCATAGTCAGGTTCATATAGCGTGCTACAGTTACCATGTCACATATCTGCAGAAAACAAACATTTCTGCAACATTAGTAAAACATAATTACACAGGTTTTATTGTAGACAGAAGCATTGTGAGATACTACCGCAGCTCGCATTTGGTTCAGACCACCATTGCATGAAATAAGAAGATAACCATTACTCTTATAAACCCCTGCATGAGAGATTGTACTTTATCAGACTGAACCTATCATTAAAACCAAGACATGCTTTGTATTGTTCTGTTGATATTGCTACCAGAATGCTGTATATGCCAAGGGTGAAGCTAGATGGGGTAAATTCAAGTAAAATCGAGCAAACTTCATTCTTGAGGCATCAGGTCCTCTCGCTTACATATAATGGTAAAAAGGAAGCTAGAAATTATTTCTTTTTGAAGCCTATCACCCACATGGTGATTGGAATTTTACTTTGCAAGGGAAACCACCTCCTAATTTCTATTTTCCAGCTTCATGTGAAAATAACCAAAACAGCTATCCTGGAAAAAAAAATTCCAAAGTGTATCCAGGTATACAACTATTTATCGAATCTTTTTTCAGGAAACACATTTATCATTTTGTTCTATGAAGGATGCAAATCCCTGTGTCACATGATTTAACAAGGAATAATTAATGAAGAGAGCAATCTTTATATACTACTACTGCTAAAAGTGAAGCACATTCCAGGTTTTGCTAATCAGTTACGGCTTACAGCTTCCAGGTTCCAAGTTCCAACATGTGAAGATCTCAAATTCTGACATAACGTTAACGTATCACTAGCTTCAGAGAACCAAAATCCATAGCACAAAATCCATCACAACAAACCGTGGAACTCCGTTTTCGATAAACAAACTAAAATCGGTAGCACAAACTAAACGGTAAATCAAGAACTCAAACACCCAGAACCAAGAACAGGCGCTGCGAGCAAAAATAATTCAGTCGCAAGTCTGTCAAGACCCAAATCCCCGAACAACACCAGTTTAACGATCCACAAGACCACAACCAATGACTCAGTTTAGCTAAGCTTATTCAGTTACTTCCTGGAACAGTTCGATCCAACTCATGAATGCTCGAGAGCTTCCACATTCCACTCCATCCATTCAGATAGTGGGAAGCGCCTTACCCAAGAACCCCAACCAAGACCCGAGCAAGGAGGTCATGATTCCAAGAACCAAGAACCGCCCAGCCGCCCACAGCAGCGAGATCAACAAGACAAGAACCACTCACTCCTGCGAGGCACAGCCGGGGGCGCGAGGCGCCCGACCTCGTCGGCGGCAGCGACGGTTACAGCAGAGGAGGCGCTGGAGTTGCTGCCGCCGCCGCCGCCTAGGCAGGAGGGCCGGGCGGCGAGGAGCGGCGGGCGGGGGAGGCCGAGGAGGCTGGATAAATGGAGGAGGGCCGTCCAGAGCACGATGCTCGAGGCGACGCGCACCGCCCACCGGAGCATGCCGACCCCGCGGCGGCGGATCGCCGGCGGCGAGCTCTTGTGCCTGGCCATGGCGCCTTCTTCCTACTGCTACTGGTATAAGCTACGCTTTGCAGTGCTCCCCACTACTAGTGGTGGAAGGGCAAAGACGGTAAGAGCAGTGTCCGTTATTTTGACTTGTGCGTGACGTGACGGAAAGAACAGTTGGGATTTGGATCGGTGTTAGGGTGATTATTAACTGCAACCGGAAAGTTTGGTGGCCTTTCTCATTGCAAGGGGACTAGTGTGCCGTGCACTAGTCTCGTCCTAATTCAAATATGGCGTGTATATTAACCATTTTGAAGGACGTGGACACGAGGGGCAGCTAGGGCTCGGAGAGAGGGATAGGAGAATTTCACTGTTTTATGTCAATAAAATATCATCTAAATTCACACCACTTCCAAATTTTTTTATCGGAGATACAAATTTCTATCCCTCCGTACCACTCCCTCTGCACAGTTTTTGGATTTTGGGAAACATGCAGAAAGTTTTGGCAAGAAGTTTTGGGTCCTGACAGAATTCCTGAATTGCTCATATTTAATGCCATGCATGCATGGCTGACTTTCAAACTTGCTTCATAGGCGATGTTGCTACAAACAAATAATAAATTTGGCATACATGCATGGTACAGCAAACACAGCTGCCATGCGACGTCACACACATACTGACATACAACATAAATCTCTTGGCTTACATCCTCCATAACAGTAGCACATTACAAATGCAGTCAACAATTATGCAAGCAATAGAAATCCACAAATAAGTTGTCAAACATACACATCAGCCGCATACATGACAGTCCATACGCATGTTCCAAATGACAAACAAAATTCAAGAACCGTGTACCAAAGCAAGTGCAATGGAATCACGAAATGCATTCATCAGATCACAATCATCAAACACTTCTTCGGTCTCAGGTTGATCGTCACTAGCTTGTGGCGGCACATAGTTCTCATCACAGTCACAACGATCGAAGTGCTTGTCACGTATGCCACTTTTCCTAATGAAGTTATGTAGCGCACAACATGCAACTATAATTTGTGCCTGTTTACGAGGATCATAACTAGGGATCTTCTCCAACATCCTCCACTTCATTTTCAAAACTCCAATGACCTTTCAATGACATTCCTAAGAGATGAGTGTGCATAGTTGAAGTTCTCTTCCTTACCTTGTGGTTCAGGGGCATCGCGATACTCCTAAAGATGATACTTGGTTCCCTTGTAAGGAGCAAGGCAACCTGGCCGGTTAGGGTACCCAGAGTCGACAAGGTAATATTTCCCTACAGCATCAAACATGAGTTAGTATGACATATTTCAAATAACAAAGAAGGAACAAGTACCATTCAAGCATATACCTGTAGGTGGATGTAGAAACACATGGGTGTATGTTGTGTGGGCATCATCAAATACTCTCATGTCATGTACCGAACCTGGCCATCCAGCTAGTACAAATGTAAACCTCATGTCAAAGTCACAGACAGCCATCACATTTTGTGTTGTCATGCCCTTGCGGCACAAGTGCTGCACAAACTTGTTACTTGGCACCACGCAAGGTACATGAGTCCCATCTATAGCCCCTATGCAATCCTTGAAGTAGGGAAAGAACCTACGGTTCCTCAGTCTTGGATGCATTGTTGTGAATTGTGGGTCAGCCGGCTTTATGACATCAACGGCAAGCTTGATGACAGACTGCAAAACTTTGTTAAACAGCCTACTTACAGTCCCCATTGACCTCTCAAATCTGTCCTCAGCTTGTCTAACAGATTGTGGGGCACCAACCATCCAAAGAAACATCGTAAGTGCCTCAACCGAGGTTGACTTGCTACTAGATTTAAGCTCATACGACTGTACCAATAGATCATGCAGGCGAAGGAACATAGTTGGACTCATTCTAAACATGTTATAACAGGCCTTTCTATCCCCAAGTTTTTTATGTACCCATTCCAAACCAGTCATGGCAGGTTGCCTATACTCAGCTCTAGTCAAATGCTTGTCAATGTGCATGGCATACTTGTACATACCGTACACATAACCGTCGTCATCATCATCCATCAATGCAATGATCAACTCGTCTATCTCATCCTCCCAACGCTTAAGCCGACGGCGCGACTCCTCATAACCTGATTGGTCATCATCCTCTACATAACCTGATTGGTCATCATCCTGTCAAAACAAGCAATGCAAAATATTAGCAATGAAAAATATATAGACATGATTAATATGCATTTCTTTCTCAGCCATGCATTACATAGTTCAAATCAGCAGCATACATAGAATTCATCAATAGTAGTACCATGCTGATGTTTAAATAACACACATCGGGAACATAGTCCAAACACACAAATACATGCACCATACATCCGAGTGAACATACGGCCATTAGTACATAAAGTAGGAAATATAGCCATGACAAAACATTAGCTGGACTAGTTGTCGACCCCTGCATATTTCTTGATGATGAGCATCCTTCCTTCAGGCTCGGTGACAATGAACAAGTCCATCACACTTTGATACTTGATGATTTCGAGGACACCCATGAACAATGTTGGGGTCTCAGAGGGAGTTACCCCACACTCCTTTCCCAGCTCGTTAACCTTTGCCACCTTCCGCTCAATAGCTTTGCGTTCTTCTTGCATAGCATCCTGCTTTACTTGCATCATGGTCTGCAGGACACTGAGTTTGTTCCTTGAAATTTCGTTGTACTCACTCATGTTTCTGTCCATTACCCTCACTGCTGGACTCCTAGACTTCTTACTTGGACTCGAGGCTGTGGTGCTCGTGCTGCTTGTCCTTTTGTTGTCGACACTAAGAGGAGTCAGCTCATCGTCGTCCTCATCATCATCCGCTTCATCAGAGCTGTCACACTCTACAGGCTGGTCGGCAGTCGCAACAAAGGATGTAGAACCATCCACTGCAACACCCTCAAACATTCTGTCCATTTCAGGCAAATATTCAGGCAAGCCTTTCCTGAACTTCTTCCAATCGGGATGTCCCTGTCCAACGAAAGCACATGTCATGACCTGCTGAACTTAACATGTGTTCACAACATTAGAGAGACATGACCAATTTACCTTGGTGTTGGCAGCCCACCAATCATCTTCGGCGACAACAGTCCCATCAGGGTTCCTCCCTAAGCCAGAGCTGGAGCGAAGCTTATTACAGAATGCCCATTGCTTCCTAAGCTGCCTGTGTCTCCCCATGAATTGCTCCCTGTTGTGAACTAAACCAGTGGCTTGGAAGTACCTCTTAATGATGTCCCTCCAGCCATTTTTTTGCATAATACCGCGAACACAGTTTCCTATGTCCATTTGATGGCACCAGATGGAACAGAAGGTGCGAGTATTTCTCGCTGACCAATTTGCCTTATCTTTCCTAACCTAAATGCATCAATAGTCATGGAAAACAACATCGAACATGTGAACTAAGTTTGCATTTAACAAAATTTTAAACTAGTCGGAAGCAGGCAATCAATTGTAATTGGAATTGTTGTACGTACCGGAATACCGTCGTTAGCATCGGAGTGCTCGGCCGCAAGGTCCGAGACATTGTGGCACACTGATGCGCGTGATGCAGGCCGTGCGCTCACGGCCACGCCTCCTCCTCCGACGACTGCGCCTGCGACTCCTCCTCCAGCGCTTGCGGCCCCTGCTCGTCCTCCTCCAGCGGCCGCGCCTTGTACTCCTCCTCCCCCCGCACTGCGAGTGGGCCGGATTCCGAGGGTGCGAGATATTCGCCGGGGAGGAACTTGAACGGGCGGTGGAGGAATTTCGATGTTGTCGTCGTCGGCCTGCAGCATGCCCGCGTACGTAGCCATTTCTGGCCACCCGTCGCTGTCGTTGAGGTCGAGCGACTCGAACCGCACCCGGGAGGTGTTGCCGCTAGAGGAATCAGGCGGGGGATGCGCCGCGTCAGCGCCGACCGCGCCCCCTCGGCGTGCGCACCAAGGCCCGGACGCAAGGAAGTCCTTGGTGCAGCCGTCGTGGCCGTACACGTCGTCATCGTGGCCTTTGCCGCCTTCGTTGCCATTGTAGCCGCCCCCGTAGCTGGCCATCACGGGAATGAAGGCGGATCTGGGCACCGACGGTGAATCGGAAGGGTGGGCGGCGGCGGTTGGAGGGATGACGTGTGTCGGCGGGGGAGGGACGACCACACAAGCGGTGGAAGAATTGGAGTTGGGCGGCGGCGGTGTGAGAGACGACGGGCGGCTCCGCTATGAGCAACGAATGCCGGAGCAGCAGAACCTGCTGGATCTGGGCGGCGGGGGTCTCACGGACAGCGAGCGGCGGCTGGCTATTTTAGGGAGGGCGAGAGGCGGCTGAGAGAAGGAGGGCGAGCGTAGGGGAGGAGGGGGTCGATCTGGGAGGGGGCGGTGTCAGGGATGGCATGCAGCAGCGGTGGGACGAACGAAGGGGCGAGCGGCTGTGTTGGGGATTTTGGTGGAGCGACGAGGAGCAGGGTGAGGGGTACTACTCGTCCATGGGTGAACAGTAATTGCACATCTGCCAAAAAATTTTGCCCCCCGTTTAGTTCACAAAACGCAAAAAGTGGCCCCATGCCAAAATTTTTTGGCCCATCCTAAAAGATTTCACCATCTAAACCGGGCACTATCCGTGCATAACCGTTCGACGCCAACGAGTCATCATACCTGAGCTTAAGCTTAGCCACTGCATGTGTCGTACCCCGCTCGCGTCTTCCCTGAGCTTGTGCCATTCCCAAGCTTGGTCAATAGCTGCCGCTTGCCCCATAACCCGCTTGCGTCGTCCGCGAGCTTGGCCGCCACTAATCCGGGATACCACCATTGTTCTCGAGCTGTTGGTTCAACCTCTACCCGCCATCCCCAAGTCAGTCTTCGCCTGAGCTATCCCAGGCTCAACCTCGAGTAGTGCTTGCAGTCGGTCCATTGCCTACTACCTAGCAGCAGGAGGAGACAGCGGATATGTTGCCATTGCAGTTGCGTCAGCCTACAACAACAGACAAAGAGTTTGAATTGGCGGCTCGCACATGGTGATGGCATCCTGAAGTGGCGATGGGCATCAGACGAATGGTGCGGAAGGGCAGAAGGAGTGGCACGAAATCGAGAAATTCACATCTTCGATGTATAGATGGCTAAAAGGCCCGGCCCAGGCACGGCTAGGCACAGCCCACCAGCCATCAGGCTGGCACGGCCCGGTCGGCACATCGTGCCAGACCGTGCTGGCCCATGGATTGCACCTCTGGCCTAGGCACGGCCCACCAGTAGTCGGGCCGTGCCGGGCCAGCCCAACGTGCCAGTGGAGGGGCCCAGGCACGACCCGGTGGTCGGGCCGGACCAGCATGGGTCCAACCCCCGTCGGGCCGTGCCGTGCTTGGGCCGGACCAAAATGCCATGCCGTGGGCCAGGTTGTCGGGCCTTGGGCCTTTTAGCCATTTATACTTCGGTGACACGTTTTAAAAGAAGGGTGAATTTGAGGTAATTTCTAAAAAAAAAACCCGATGAATTGAATGGCAACTAGTAAAATTTATGGGGAGAGAAGATTAGGAAGGAGCCGAAAACTAGTTTGGTCTCTGGTGGTATTCTAACATGTAGACATGGGTTAAGGGTAACATTTACGAAGTGCCATTTGGGTGAAGCCTAATATAATTTGATAATCTCATCTTTTACTCTACAATGTATCAACCGCTGACAAAATTTAAATTTAAAGTTATTTTTAGGATATTTTCAAAGATAATATTTAATTATTTTTTTTAGCATTGACATTTTAGGGCTCTGTTTGGCTATAGTTATAGCGCAGCCAGCACGAAAAGCGCTGCAAACATATAAACACCAAGCCAGCAGCTGCATCATCAATTTTCCAAACAGATCTTTAGTCGCTAAGTATCTTATATATAAGTTCTACCCCCTCCGTCCCAGAATATATTGGATACGGTTATTAAGAAAATATGTAGAATTAAATAGGAATGGGTTATGATTGGCTGAGAAATGGAGGTAGGTGAGAAAAGTGAATGACAGAAGATTATGATTGATTGTGAAGGGAATGTTGGTGAATAAGTTGTTATATTGTGCAACAAATCCTAAGTGCTCAAAGTTGTTATATTTTGGGACTGAGGGATCAGTATTTATAAATTATTATTTGATCGCTAATGAGCCATTTGACATGCAATCAATCAACTTTTATTCGTGAAGTAAGCGTAGCACAACTGGTTAGGTTTCTTATAGTGGAACCAGTTCACCCACAATCAAATCCTAAATTTAACATGAGTGCTCTCATTTATAGCTAATTATTATTTTAATGGTAGGCGACGTATCCGTCGACAAGTCCGTAGTGACTTCGTCAATCTAAAAAAATGTCGACAACGAGATGTCCGTAGTGACTTCGTCAATTTAAAAAATGGCCAGTCTTTTGAAGGTGTTTAGAGGAGTAGGGTGTGTACGTTTATAGGGATGTACATGTGTTATGAGTATATACATTTTTATTATGTTCCAAAAAAAATGTAAGCTTTTCTTCTACTCTCTCTATCCTAAGTGTAATTGTAGGTTTCTTTGCCCAACGTTTAACCAAAAGTTTTATTTTAAAAAAATATGATAAAATTTAAAAATAAGTTATTATTTGTGTTTTATCATCTAATAATATTAAAAATTATCAAATGTTCAAGAAAGAAAACCGCAATTACACCTAAAATGACACGAAGGGATGATAGGTCTGCAGCCTGCAGTTACAGCTATCCCGCCCTCCCATGCTTCGAGCGTTCCTTCCAGTGACTTCCATGACCGGCAGCTAGATCTCATCTCGCAAGTGGAATGACCGCCTCGAGGTCTCTCCTCGCCGTCATCCTCCTGGCCGCGACCGCCGCCGACGTCGACGCCCTGGTGTTCGACGTGCCATCGGGCGGCTCCAAGTGCCTGACCGAGGAGCTCCGCCGCGGCGCGCTCTCCCACGCGTCGTACCGCGTGGCCGAGGCCACGTCGGCGGCGTCCTCCGCGGTCTCGGCGCGCGTGGCGGGGCCCCGCGGCGAGGAGCTGCACCTGACGGAGGGCGTGGAGGCCGGGGAGTTCAGGTTCGAGGCGGCGGAGGACGGCAGGTACACCGCCTGCTTCTGGACGCCACGCTACTTGCGCGGCGCCATTGTCTCCATCGACGTGCAGTGGACCACCGAAGTCCGCGACCACGCCGGTGGTGCCGGCTCCCCGCCAGCCGTCGCAGCCGCCAAGGAAGGCCACATCGATGTATGCTCTCTCTCTCTCTCTCTCTCTCTCTCTCTCCACTACTACTACTTGCAGATTAGTTGTCACTAGATCAGATAGTGTAAAGATCAGATTTAATTTAAGCTACAAAATTTGTGTCGATATAGTGCTGGACAAAGCTATAAGTAATTAATGGGTTTAATGTATTTTAGATTTCGTCCAGCGGTTTGTTTAGAAATTTGTCCGCGTGTTCCGTTTATGAAACGGAAATAAGACAACTACAAATCTCATTTAGATGGTCAATGAAAATGGAAGTGATTGATCCGTGTGGTGCGTGAAGGTGATTCTGGTGCCAAATGCAGTGTGTACAGGTGATTTTGATGTTTCACTTCATTGTAATTCACACAAGCATAATGGGGATTAGGAATGTAGATGCACACGCTTCTGTAAGTTGAAAGTCAAAATTAGGTGAACAATGGTAGCATGTAGTGCCTCTGTCTCAAAATATAACAGCATAGAATAAGATAGGATATATCCGTACTACGAATATGTACTGGCTTTATCGAGATTTGTAGTAGAGGTGTCTAATCTGATTTTAGGTTACTATAATTTAGTCTGTTTTTTAATAGCTGACGTTCAAAGATTAGAAATGTGCCTATTCATTGTGTTGAGCTCAGTAGGATGTAATTTAATCTCAAGGGAGAATTAAATTTGAAAATATACTATTCATTCGATTTTTTCTCACGAATATTCGGGATGCAAAATTTTTTACAGAAATAAACCGTCGGTCTCGCACAACCGTTGCACGAAAACGACGTGGGAATGACGTCGCAGGCGGTATCGCACGCAGAAAGCGCGAGCCGCGCGGGCATCAGCGCGAGACCGCGCGATCTCGTGGATTAGAATATCAATACTGAGCAGATTGAAAGGGATGTCTCGCGGTCTCGCTCATTGCATGAGCGATAGCGGTTCAATGCCGATGTAATTAGCGGTTAATTCTAATTAGTGATTAATTATCCTAATTAGTGATTTGATTAATCACTGATTAGGATAATTAACCGCTAATTATTATTAGCTAATTGTATATTAAATAATTAATCCCTAATCAAATCGAGCCGTTGGATACTATAGTTGTTTGATTTTGCGAGACCGTTTGGTCTCGCTCTTCCATTCCACGAGACCGTGCGGTCTCGCGCTTTCCCTGCGCGATACCGTCCGCGATGTCATTTTCGCGCAATGGTTGAGCGAGACCGACGGTATATTTTTATAAAAAAAATTTGCATGTCGAATAATACTGAGAAAAAATTGTATGAACAGTGTATTTTTAAATTTAATTCTCTCATGGGAGGTCTAAAAGCAGTATTATAAGAATTTTCATTTTCGAATCAGTCCTGTACGATATTTTTTTTTCATTTTCGAATGTCCTTTCCTAGTCGATGATTGGAGAGTTGAAGAAATTGGAGGTTTCTACTCGGCTCATACATGAAGAGATGATTTCTCTCCGACGGAGGTACGGTACTCGAAGACTATTCCAAGTTCTCTTTCCAATGTAACATTGTTGCTTATTGATCTCTTTTTTTTTTCTCTGCCAGCGAGGGTGAGATGCAAAAGCTCAACGAAGACACGACCATGAAAATACACTCGTTCACCCTGCTATCGCTGGCAGTTTGCGTTGGAGTTGCAGGGCTGCAGCTGTGGCATCTAAAGACTTTCTTCCAAAAAAGACACATACTTTAGGGACTAGATGGAACAAGGAGGGCCATGCCTTACTGATTTTTTTTTTCAAAAAAAAAATCATGTACAAATATAATGAACTCGGAGGGTCTTGCCTCTCTCCGAGTTCATCACTGTACATTTATTCTTCAGAAAGGAAATTAGTGCAAGTCCATCTCATACGTTTGCTTGTTTTCTGCAGCATTTTGTTGGCTGTTTCACTTATCGGTAATGTGCTCCAAGAGTTCCAGACCTTGAAAGTGCCTGGTGTCATTTGGCGGTTTACGGAAGAGCGCTCACCAAGCTATACACATGTTTAGTCTTTGGGATGTTCGATGCTTTCTGTAAATTATACCAAGCTAACAAAAGGGTCACAATGCCGGCATATTTTCATGAAACTAAAGCCCGCATAAGTACATAACAGAAATGGGACTGAAGGAGACACATCTATGCATCAGATTATAAGTCCAAAAGAATGAAAAAAAGGCTCTGATATGGCTTTGCATTAATACAAAAAAAAAATCCTTACAATGGTCAGTACTTAACATCTGCAAGCTATATTCCTCATGTGTACGTCAAGGTGTAGGCGGCCAAACAAATAGAATCGAAAATGGACAACAAATGGTGAATCAAGTAAAAAAAGAATCTAACCTCAAACATAGGATCTACACTCCCTACTAAGTCGGTGAACTAAGCCAAAACTATATGCTGAGACCTTCCTTTCTTTCATAAGTTATAGCCAAGCTATTTCTGCTATGATGAAGATGCAACCTCAATGGCACTACCAAGGGGCCATGCTGCTTCAACAAATGAATTGCTATAAGGCACCTTCTTTACCAATGTAATATCCTGGTAGGGATCCACACCTGAAAGAACAGCAAACAGAATGAATTTAAAAATGTCTAAATCTTACAAAAAGTATCGTGTTTTTTTTCACTTTGCATTAAGATATACCAAATCCATCCACAAGTAACGTGTACTGGTAGACTAGATCCATGCAAAGGTATGGAACGTTCTCCTCTGAAACATCCGGGTAGGTGGCCTGTGCATCCTTCACATTCAGTTTACAAACACGTCGTGCAGCTTCTTCGAAGTCTGAGGGTTTAACCTTAGCAAATGGTGCCTTCGGGTTTACAAAACCGGCCTGAGCAGAGAACAAGAGGCAACTAGATGTATTGCGCCAGTGATCCAACAGTAATCAGCTACTGGTAGATTCAAAAGTTTTGTTGCCACAAGGACTTACCTCAGCAGCCCGATCGAAGAAAAATGATGCAACAAAAAGATTCTTCTGCCCATCTCCTCCACCACCATTCCACACACCACCAAATGTACATTTCATGTGAGTGCATGCTGGTTCGTCAACTTTGAGAGCTCTCACAGCAACAGCCCTGCACTTGGAATAACTTGCACCAGATGACAAACCTGATGCTTCGAATATATCGTCACCATATCTGTATTGTCCTGTGTACAATTTACAAGGACAATTAGAATCCGGTACCATCTTTCCAAGAAAACGTAAATTGATACAACTGAACAAAAAAAAAAGGAGAGAATTTCAGAAAGCTACAACTATTTTGTTAAAATTATCAGTATGTTACAAATTTAACCAAGCATTTCAGATAACTCCAACTATAGCATATATGATTTTATCAAAAAGCTGCAAATTTTATCTGTTTGACAAGTTTGGGCCCACCTGTCATATACACATGAAATACTCATGCTGTTGTAAATTGGACCCAGATGTGACACGCACAGAGTGAATAAAATTGCAGTTTCTGATGAAATTATTTGTTGTTATTGCAGCTTTGTGAAATACCTAGTTAACGTTATAGCATAATGATAGTTTTGAACAAACAATTGCAGTTTGTGAAATTTACTCAGAAAACAATTATGGGGTAAATGGTGCGTGTGTGTATACATATTTTCTAAATTTATACATTGCGACCATAATTTGCCAATAGAATAGTCATTCTTTTACCAAGGCCTTCAGAATATCGAAAATGATCTTAACTAATATTCGATGATTGCAGAATTTCTCAAGGAAATCCAAATGACATTCTGTATCTTGGTTTCTGTTTCAATAATGAGCTTTTGCTCTTTCATGTTGACATAGTTTCAATGAAGTTCACAGGAAATCTATTTAAATTTCCAAGCAGGCAGATGAAGATAATATCATGTTGGCTTTGTGGATTAAAGAAGATGCGGGCAACCATACCATGATGTCCTTCCAACATACAGTTGCGGTAATCATTGCCTTCACCTGCTTTTAAGATCTCTGCTCTAGCCGCCAGCAATCCATAACGCAAATAACTGTAGAAAGCAATGTTTCTTGTTATTCCATGATCTTTTACTTGTGATGTTGGTTCCAACATTTGTTCATCAAAATGTGGTAAAAAGAAAATGTTCCATTTCCATGTCAGATTTAGAGTAACAAAAAGAAGTGATAGATTGGAATCGCAGTGTAAATAACAGTGCAGAAATCACTTTGCAGTCATATGTACAATCTTCACTGATTTCATAGATGGAATAGATTTTGCGATGCCAGTGCCAACAACAGTTCATCAGAATATTGTCAACAACATTGTTCATGTCCCATTGAAAGTAACAGCAAGAAGTAATAAAATCAATTGAAGGACATATGTACTGACATCTGCATTGCAAGGAAACAATATCCTTAAGTTACTAGTTCAACTTCTCAACTTTCTTTTAGCCCAGGTGTGCTTTATTCTATTTCTGTAATGATCAGCTTCTAGTTGCAGCTTCCTAAATAATGTCAGGGTTCCTCTCTTTACAGTTCTAAAACACCTAAGGATTGAGATTAAAAAAAAATTACAAGATACTGCAAGGCAATCCTACTAGAAATAAAGACTAGTCAAAAATTAGTTTCGCCAATATTTCAATACTTATGACAGATTTTAGACATCATTAGTACGATATCTTGGTACAAATAATAACGATGTAAAATATCTGTAAAAAACTGGAATGCAACAAACCATTTGACGTGTACCTGTGAACATAAAGATAATATGTTGTTCCCTTAAGTAGAAGCTCCTTCACATATGAATCTTCACCTTCTGCAACTGGAGGAGCCTTTCCTGCATCCTTCTCTGAGATGGCATAAGCCATTTGGACAGAACCACCACCTAGATCAACCACTCCAACCGTGTGTGAGTAAGGCTTTCCCAAATTTCCCAACAGATAATTGATGGTAACCTAAAAAACAGCAAAGAAGCACTCATGTAATCATGTTGATTTTTTTTTTTTTTTGTATGGAGTACAAAAAGAGCAGCATATGGAGTACGGACAACTTTGTACTTCCATATAAGAAGGGGCAAGCAGGCAAGTGGTGGCAATGAACATTGCTAAATCCAAAGGAACACCAATCATAGAACCTTTTTATATTTGCTAAAATAGACTAAATAAGATAATGATCTGGGGCATAGAAACAAATTAACTTTCCATACCCACTGGAATGCACCTTCCTGAGATCCATCTAGAACGGTAACCCATTCTGGTTGGGATCTGAAAGAGCTCTTGTCTTGAAGAAGATCCCTTACCTAAAGAATTCAATGACCAAGTAACAAAAATTACAAGAGAGTACAAAGCATAATAAATCTTACAATCTCAAGTGAGATTATAATAAAAAAAGGCAGTCCAATCTTGACAGGAATAAGATATGCTACAGCTAGCTTATCACAAGGACAATTTACCGCTTGCAAAATTTCTTCAGACTTTTCAGTCCCTAATGCTCTCAGGCCTGCAGTAGCCTGCATAAGGGTGAACATCACTTCACAGAAAAAAGATGTTATGGAAAGTCAAAAAAATGTGTTTTTCAGCTTCCATTCCATAGAGTGAAATAGAATGGCCTCCACCCACCCCAACCCTGACAGGAGTTTGCTCACGTAATTCCACAGGAATTACTTTTTCAGCTTCCTCTAGAAGAGAAACAAGTGACTTAGCAGCTTCTTGTGGGTCCATGGCATAGGCACTGAGGCCTGGTTTTTTCTGGCAAGAGGCAAGAGAAAAGGATGAAGGTTCAGATAAAATTGTACATTCCCCCAGTTCTATCCTTCTTCATTTATATTTAGAAGTTAGGAGTCTCCGCAACAACTGTATGCATGAAATTTTTCGAGAAGTAGAACATCTTAATCAAGGAAGTAAACTAGTGGTGCATACTTCTCTGAACAGGATGTAGCTCTTGGCAATTTTACAATGTATCTACCTAGAAATCTATAATCGACACATACTTTAAAGCTTCAGATAAGCTTTACCCGGCATATATAGCCCAAGGCCCAGTGCCTGTCAGCAATTTATACAAATTTCAGAGAACAGTTATCTACAGTATATAAGAATGTTCATACACTCTCAGATTTTAATTCAACGTCCATCTTCAAATAATATAAAGGGGTAAACTGATCAATAACACTAGAAAGATCGCATGTTGTAAAATCACATTGATATGTCAATGACATATCGACCTTGGTCCCAATTCTCACCTGAATGCTGTTTTCCAATCTATACATGTTTGCAAATTGCATTGTTCCTAGAAAATTTTCCCAAATATTAATGCACTTGCAAAAATATTGGAGCATCTGGATGGCATCCACATATATGTGTATTTGCTTGCCACTAGTTTCAGCTAGTTTGGAAATACAACCCAGTTCAGTACTAAGTAGTCTTAAATTTGAAGTTAAAAAAATTCACAAAGATTATTTTCTACACCGTATCTTTTGTCTCAATACTCTTACAAAAGACCAGCTAATTATGTGTCACACTTACAACGTTGCCTGGCTGAATATGAAGCAATGCATCTGATCACAGGCATTCTAAACTTAAGCAGTGCGCCTAATTGCAGCAAGCCAGGCATAATAACAAAGACAGGTTAAATTGTTAAATAGCTGTGAACATCAATAGGTGGTTTCATGGTTTTAACGGCTTGCTGTCACCAACTAGCAATGTCAGCACCAAATGCTACAGTTCAGCATTTCATAGTATGTTACTCACATGTGCTTGCTTTGCAGAAACGAAATGATCCCATTTCAAATTCTAACCAGGATCAATTATCCCTATAAGCATGCTAATATAAGATCATAACAAGACCTATCCCGATCGGATCCACCTGATAGCACCCCATATTTCACAACTAAAGATAATCAACCAAAAATGAAACGCGGCCAATTCACCTGCTTGAACAGCTCGATTTCCTTTCCAATAGGCAGCAGATCCAGGTTCCCATCGAAGCAGTACACGTGCACGCGGCTCCCGGAGCTCCCGGCATCAAATATCACAGCGTACCTGGTGGATCCGTCCCCAAGTCCGCTGACGGCCCGGGGGCCCCACCTCCGTCCGGCAGCGGCGACGAGCTCACCGGCAGAGCCCTCGACGGTAGCGGAGGCGGGCGCGCGAGGCATGAGAAGGAGCACGAGCGAGATGAGGAGCACCGGCGCGAGCACCACGACGAGGACCCCGCGGAAGCGGAGGACGCGGTCGGACACGGCCTCCCCCTGCTGCTGCTGCTGCCGCGCCCCGGCGGCGGCCGAGAAGCGGCGCATCCTCGCGGCATCCGCGGCGGAGGGGCCGGCGGCGGCGGCGAGGTCATCGGCCGGGAGTAGGTCGGCCGCCGAGGGCGAGCGGTAGCGGATGCGGCCGTTGGTCGGGGACGGCTTCACCGCCTCCTGCTGCGGCGGCTCCAGGGCGGCGGGTCGGGTGCGGCCGCGGCGCGCGGCCTCGGCCTCGTGGGGGCGCGTGGCTGGAGGTGCGGCTGCGCGAGATCTCCCCCGTCGCGGCTCACGGCGACCGGCGGTGCGCTCGGCGCCGGGGCGGCATTGCGTGCGGTGCGAGCGATCGGAGCGGCGAGGTAGGCGGATCGGTGGTGGTTCGATCAGGGAGGACGGATTCGTGGTGGAGTCGCGCGCGCCGCTCGGGGAGAGCGAGACCGGGACGGATCGGACGGTGCGGTTCGGCTCGGGAGTCGGGACGAGGTGGTTTGTCTCGCTCGCTCGCGTCGCGTCTCCGGGGACGGGAATGGGAACGGGAGGTGCGCCTTGGGCCGCGGCCGCCACTTGGCTGCACGCTGCAGCCTTTGGCTCTCTCCGCCTCCGGTGGTTTTTACGTACCTTTCTGGGTTGAAACTGCGTGTCACGCCAATAATCGTGCTCTCATCTTCTTCTTCTTTTTGTCTTTTTGTCATAATTGTGTGCATATTTATATGAGCGTTTACGTTTGTACTGTGTTTTGTAAGTGAATAGAAGAAGTAACTTATGTTTTGAAAATATGTAAAAAAAAGGGGGTAAAATGATCTCATTTGGCGTCCGATAACACGGCTCAACCGGTTAGATTTTTAATGGTGCAACCAACCCATTCTGGTTCACATACTAGATTTGACGCACGTGCTTCTATTTTCGACTAATTGTTTATTTCAGTGGCAGGCAACATACCCGGACAGCGCGGCGCACGTTGTGATTTTGTCAATCTTAAGATATATCAGCAAAGCGTCTGTGATGATTTTGTCAATCTCAAAATACACCGGTTCAGTCTTTCGGATATGCTCATAGGGATAGGGTGTGCGCGTGTTCATAAAGGAGATTATGTGTGTGTTACGGGTACATGCTTTTTTATTATGCTTCTAAAAAATAAAAATTTTAAATTTGAATACACATCTACCAGGGGAAAAGCATTACTAGGAAAAAGAACCCGGTCTATTGAAGGATATCGAGCTTAAACTGAAGGGCCGTTAGTTTGGCGCATTATTTTGTTGGGCCTTTGTTGGAAATTAAGAGAGATGATGGGTGGGAGGCGATCAGAGTAAATGGGCCAGAACATTACTCTACCGGGGAAAAAGTGCACCGAAAGTCCCTCAACTTGTCATCGGGGTACAGAAACATCCTCAAACCACAAAACCAGATACGCGGGAACCGATCATCCGAGGTCCTTCGGTGGTTTTGACTCCGGTTTTGTCTACATGGCAGCTGAGTCAGTGTGGGACCCACGTGTCAGCGTGCCACGTCATCTCTCTCTTTCCCTTTTCTTTTTTTCTCTTCTTTTTTTACTTCTCTTTGCGGCAGGGGAGTAGCAAGAACGGGCGGCGGCGGGCGGCGAAGGCGGCGTGCGAGCGCGCGGCGGCCGGTGAGCATGGTGGTCGTCGGCGTTGCCATGGTGGTTGTCGGCGTCCTCCTCGTCTCCTCCTCCTCCGCGTCCGGGTCCAGCCGCGGCGCGGTGGCCCCGCCGCATCGACGGTGTGCCCCGTTTCTCCCTCCCTCGCCAGCCGTCGGGACGACCCGCAGCGCTTGCCGCGACCTCCACGGCCACCTCCTGCGCGGCCGCGAGCTCCGCGTCGGCCTCGCCGACCGGCCCCAGCAGGAGGCCCCTGGAGGACGGGGTGGCGGAAGGGGCGGCACTGGAGGAGCCGGAGCCGATGGAGACGACGAGGAGGTCGTCGACGCCGGCAGTGAGGCGGAACTCCTGCTTGTTGTGGAGGACTTGGGTGATGGCGGCGGCGGTGGGGTTGCCCATGGCAGCCACCCCACCCGACGCCGCGGCGATGGCCGTGCGCCCGTCGACGGAGCGGACTGCCGTGGCGGTGGTCCCGGCATCGGTCTTCTCGGCAGACGGCCGCCCTCCTCACCGCACGGGACAGCAGCAGGCCAGCAGCGCCGCCCTCCTCCCGCCTCCGCGCCGGCCGCCTCTCTCATCTCCGCACGCGTACGCTTGCACGGTCAGGGACCCGGAGCACCCGTCGCTGGCGTCCCCGACGGAGAACTCCAGCCTGTACGACCGCCCGGGCACGGTGCTCACCTCCTGCACCATCGCCGTCTCCATGCCGGACACCAGCTCAACCGCGCGGGCGCCGCCCGGCACCGCGTCGATGTACTTGACGGACTTGGTGGTCGACAGGATCGTCCACGGGGACAGCGGCGTGTGGTCGTCCTCGTCCATGGGCGGCACCAGCACGCCCCAGGACGTGTTGGGGAAGATGTACGGGCCCTCCTCAAAGCCCCCATTCTTCAGCATGTTACCTGGTTCAGTTTGTTCGATTATTTCACTGTGAGCACATCCTAATTGTATTCAATTTTGTAGAGATGCACACTGATAGCAGCTTTGTGGAGAGGTTAGCACCCGGCTCAATTAGTTAATTACCTTTCGTTCTTTGAGGAGGTTGCGGGGTCTTAATGGCGAACGAGTCGATGAGGGGGCCGCGAGCTTCGTCATCAGAGACACCGGGGTTGTGGACGATGAACAACACGACGCTGTGCTTGGCCTTGAAGGCCCAGGAGTAGGAGTCCCAGCCGCTCGGACCCGTTGTTGCCGACCGTGGCCAGCTCCTCCTTGGCGAGCATAGCACGCAGCACGACGCCCAGGTCGTCGGCAAGCTTGGCGAGGAACGCCTAGATGGAGTAAAAAAAAGGAAGAGAAAAAAGAAAGGGGAAAGAGAGATGACGTGTATCATGCTGACATGTGGGGCCCACGTGAGACCCATGCTGACTCAGCCGCCACGTAAGCCAAAACCGGGGTCAAAACCACCGAAAGACCTCGGGTGACCGGTTTTGTATAGTTAAGGGACCCCGCGTATCTGATTTTGCGGTTCAAGGATGTTTTTCTATCCCGATGACAAGTTGAGGGACCTTCGGTGCACTTTTTCCCTCTACCGGACATTAGAGGTATGGGCTTTTTGCATAGGATCCGATAACAACGTGTCCAACACCGGTCCGTCTAAAATAAACACGAGTAACAGGATTATACTACCCTCTCGATCATATTATGTTTACCAAACATGATGAGTAACCGGGTACTACTTCGTAACCAAAATCAACCCTAGTAATATTTCGTGAGGCGAAAATTTGATGTAACCAAAAGTGGTAAGATAAAAGATGTGGAGGTAATATTTATTCGAAACCACTTTGGTGTAGTTGTTAAATGTATAAATTTTCAGAGCTACCAAAATTTAGTAGCATAATGATAGCTGAAATATATTCGATTTATCATGTTAGGGTTGGTTTGGACAACAAATCAAACACGCTGTTAAGTTTACACGTTGTATTAGGGGCCGAAATGGACCAGACATGCACATACAGACCCGCTATTATATTGTTTTATTTAGTACAGTATATATTTTTTCAAGATATCCAGGTGGTTCTTCTTTCATCTATACTAGCCACGTAATCATGCTTCGTGCAACTTTTAATCCCGTATAATAACTTTTGTATACGGTATATTAGTTAATTGAAGGTTTTAGCATGAGTTATTTTTTTTCAAAGTATCAATTGGCCTACCTAACTATATATATATTTAGTTACTATATAAGAAATCACTATAAGTCTCCTAAGTTTTTCTCTTTGTTTTCTTTGCCCCCTCTCTTTTTTATCACGTGTCTAAGAGGAAAGCAATAGAATCCTCGAAAATTCCCATACGTTTATCCATTTGTTGTTTCTGTTAGGAAATGATAGGCGAACAAATGATAAAAAAATAATAGATCAATCACAGAATACATGAGATTTAACGTGGAAAACCCTCTCAAAGCAGTAGAGACAAAACCACGGGCGCCAGCCAGCAAAATTCTTCACTATATCTGAGGTAAGGTTACATTGTCGCACGACGGCTTACAAGAGGTATATATATATGGTGGAACCCTAAAAGGGATGACGATCCGGCCCAAGCCTCCCGGCGACAAGCCTCCGCTCCACTACGACAGAAGCTGGCCTTTATTAAGTGCAAATAAATTTGGATCATAACTCAACATTTTCCAATGCATGTGTACCTTTTTATCCACTCTTTATCCCTTGACTAATATGTCTTGATGAGATGTGGCGTATCCTCGTAGTAAAAATGTTTTATGCTTTCACTGGATAAGATAGGATAAGATATTCCATATAATTTTAACCTAGCTACTACTATACTACATATTTAAGTTTAACATGTAAAAATGGCACTCACTTCTTTTTCTACGCATGACAATATTAGTCCAATTTTAAACCAACTAACGTCATATATTAGATAACGAAGGCAGTACATTAATATTATCCGTGAGCAATTATTAATTAGATCTTAAATTTGACATAAGCATGCTCCGTTATGTATGATTTATTATATTTTAAGCTCAATATAAAAACATATGAAATCATCGTGCCATTGTCATTTTCATAATATTTTAACATATACAGTATATGTTTATTATCTTTATAATATTTAACATATATTTATAATTCTTAATTACTCCCTCTGTTTCAGGTTGTAAGACGTTTTGACTTTGATCAAGTCAAACTTCTTTAAATTTAACCAAGTTTGTAGAAAAAGTGGTAACATTTTCAATCAAGATAAATTTATCATGAAAATATATTCAATTATTAATTTGATGAAACTAATTTAGTATTATAAATATTACTATATTTGTATATAACTTAGTTAAACTTGAAACGGTCTTATAACCTGAAATAGATGAAATAGATGGAGTATTAATTTTTCTCAGATAGTCAAATCTCAAGGAATTAGCCTCTCACGCAGGTGATTCAATGGGTAAGCTCCTAATTATTCCACTTTATATTTAAAAGATATGCTACCTTTCCCTGTTTGTGCACAGCTGCATATCCACTTGCAGTGGCATCTCATAAAAGGAGCCTTGGACCTTGCTAAAGGGCCACAGAAACACATACCCAAACGGAACTAAACTAAGGTCAAGTGGATGCAATGTCATATGCAATCCATTAAGCTTGCCATTTGTCATTTCGTGTATTTTAAGGCTGCCGTACAATGACAAGGTCGGATTGGCATTATTGTGAAACACGTAGGCCCGTATGATCTGATGGCTCTCACATGATACACTAATTAATCTTACTACTGTACTTGAATTATTTGTTTTTCAAAAGCAAAGCTAGCGCATATATCCGGATTATGCAGACGAAGCCATGCATTAGGATCGCTTGAATATGGACAGAGACAAATAACACTAGTCCCATAAACTAATGGGAGACAAATGCAACGAGGCGTTGTCACATCTACCTGAAAGCCTCCATGGCCGTGATGCATGCAAGGACTTGTCTGTCTGCCTTAGGAAAGGGCTTTGTTAAAGACTGTTGAACCTGAGTAGTACCAGTATTATTATTCGTGAAAACAGAGAAGAAAAATGGAAGCGACGCATTGCAGCCTTCGCATGGTTCATGAAACGCGCGCGAATTAAAGATGCTCGATCGCTCGTGACAACACAGTTCACGACCCCGCGGCATCAAGAAGCCGCACGCATGCAAGCATGCAATTATGTACTCGTATCGTGTTCAAAATTCTAGTTGTACTCTTACTTTTCTTGATTTCTCAAAACCCCGTGCCTTGATTAGTTCTCAAATTTTTTTCCTAAAAATGTCACATAAAATCTTTGGATTCATACATGAAGCATTAAATATAGATAAAATAAAAAACTAATTGCACAGTTTGCATGAAAATCGCGAGACGAATCTTTTGAGCATAATTAGTCCATGATTAGTCATAAGTGCTATAGTAACCCACATGTGCTAATGATGGATTAGTTAGGCTCAAAAGTTTCGTCTCGTGGTTTTCAGACGAGTTATGAAATTATTTTTTTATTCGTGTCCGAAAACCCCATTCAATATCCGGTCAAACGTCCGACGTGACACTAAAAATTTTCCTTTTCACGAACTGAACGAGGACTTAGCTCTTCCTTCCATGATACAGGGCACCGCGCGTGGATGTGAACAGGATGCCGAGATAATTTTTTACCATGTCAAGTTTTTTTTTAAAAAAAATAAAATTTTATACTTTTAAATTTTTAATTTTTAATACAAACATTTTCAGGACTTGATTTTAAGATCTAATTTTTTTAACCACATCAGTCGAGCCAGCGTGACCAACAATACTGTCACACCGATCTAAATAACGTGGCAGAGTTATTTAGCGCGTAGGTTTGTGTCAGGGTCATGGATACCACATACCCAATAGTAATCGACTAAGCTCGGCAGGGCCCATCACATACCATGTCTTATACGGAAACAAACCTCGTATATAGAAGGAGTTCTGGATAAGGAATGACGAGTAGAGTTCTATATGTAAACGACAAGGACTACTCGGATCATATCTATATTTATCTCCCTAGTCTTACTTGGATAAGAAGGATTCTATGGGTATAAATACAAGCCCCCCTAGGAAAAGAGGGGACACACCCACCACAATCTATGAAGCAAATACAAGCCAATATGCTGCCAGATCTCGACATCAGAGATGAGCCTAGCCATACCCCATCTGGCACCTACAGGGGCCGGCAAGAGGGATCTAGCGCCATCTCTTATCTCACCGAGTACGGATTCGAGGAGGAGATTACCCTGTCGTCGACTACGAGTTGGTTATCTAGCCGCCAAGTCGACGACAGTTAGATATGTTATCCTAATTATTGTACTTGTGTGATTCAGATGAATAAAGAACAACACCAGCTTCGGCCAACAGGATGTAGGGCTATTACCTGTAAGATAGGGGTCCGAACCTGTATAAAATTATATGTCTCCATCTCTTTTACCTCAATCTCGCATATACCCTGATACCAACGATCCCCATACATCCAAATACCCTAGTCGTGTCGACAATTTGCTGGTGTGGTAGTGTTCTTCTCCTAATGTATTAGGATAAAACTATATATGACACCCGCTGCATGTTGTATGATAATGTTATTTTGGGACGTTGGGGTGATTGGCTTGATGGAAAGGTTCATATTTTTAAAATAAACTTGAAAGTTCATTTTTGAAATTGTGTGTTTATTTCACACTAGAATTGAAAATTTGGTTGAAATTGGAACGATGTGATGGAAAAGTTGAAAGTTTGTGTGTGTAGAAAAATTTTGATGTGGTGGAAAAATTGAAAGTTTGAAAAAAAAATTAGAACTAAACTCAGCCTAAATTAAAAGGTAAAAAAAAAATCGATCGTCGATCGGCTATGCCCGCTAGACGAGAGGATTGCTCGGCGCCTGAGCCGTGAAGGTAGGGGATATTCTATTGCACCGTGATCTTGTGCTGCCTCCTCTCCTCTCGTGCTGGTCCTTGCGGTACCACATATTTTGGCCCGTGCCTCTGTTGGATCGCTCGCGCGGGCGCGACAGTCTGCGGCTGCCAGGAGCGCAGCTTTGACTAGCAGATAACAACGGCGCGGGAATTGAAGGAGCAAGGCCGGTGGGTGGGAGTCACTGATCACCATGTGCCTCTTGCTCCCTCTTCAGATGCCTAATCGGGAGTACTCCGTAATTCAAAACTTTGAAAGCTCGAGTACTAGGACAGTTGTTGTTGTTGTTGCCCTGGACTGTAGATTAAAAGAAAAGTAAGAGCGCCCTCATGCGCCATAAAAGATGCTGATCGCCTGATCCAACAGAAGCCCGACACGCACGGGCGCACCCTTTTGTGGCTATCTAATCCTGATGTTAATTACTTGATGGTCATAGGCATATGATCATCGAATTCTACAGTTGTTAAACCCTGCATACTTCTTATGGGTTAGTATAAAGATTTTGCCTCCATGCAGCTGCGGCAGAATTATTTTTCAGGTTTTGCCACCTTTAGACATGGGCATCAAGTTATCAATGATCAGTCTCGGCGACACAGTAGTGCCAGGAACGGGATAATGAGCACCCATGCTTGGGTACATAATTGCTCGGGATGAAGGAAGGCTGGGTTAAACGGCGAGAGTAACGATGTAAAAAAAAAACGACGAACCAGATCGCTGTAGCTCCACGACTCGTCGTCATCATCCAGTCTTTCGCCTCCATGCCTGCGCGCTGCGCTGAGCTGCATGCACGCGATTCTGGCCTTGGTGGCCTAGCTACCTCTGACCCTCCTTGGATTCTGACCCTTTTTCGTGCACTCACATGCCATGCTTTCCCCGGTTTCC